ACCTATACCAAGTTTTACATTGAAGGCAAGGAGCCGTTGCTGATCTCCAAACCACTGGGTGATGTGGAAGAAATGCTGAATGGCGGCCCGTTCTTCCGCACACACCGCCAATATCTCGTCAATATCCAGAAGATCACGGAGCTGTTACGTACTGATGGCGGCTTCCTGCTGATGAGTGATGGACAGGAAATACCGATTGTGAGAACCCGCCGGCAGGAGTTGCTGGACCTGATGAAGGTGTATTAACGCGCCGCTCTTTGTTACTCCTTAATAAGCCGCTGAATCATACTGTATGCATTGTTATTGACGGTGCGATTCAACTCAAGCTGTCCCTGGAACCGGAGGTTTCTTTTTGCATCGTAAATAACGGTAGTTGGATAACCATTAATCTTCCAGGAATTGGCTGCAATATATTCCGGAGACAGGAAGGCAGTAAATCCGTACTTGCGCACAGCTTCGAAGGCTATATTGCCGGAGTCAGCCGGCAAGGGTACATTAACCACAGAAAAAAGTACATCCTGATCCTTAAAATGTTCTTTAAGCGCAGCGTATTTAGGGAATGACCGGAAACAGGCCCCGCATTGACTAAACCAGAAATCCATTACGATCACCTTTGGCTTCATCTGCGCAACCGATAGCGTATCTCCTCCTTCTGAAACCAATGGCAGGGTAATTCTTGAATCGCTTTTGTTGGAGACTTTACTATTTAGTGATGCTATATAATTTGGATAAACAGTATAAGACAACAACAATATGCAAGCCAAGGCGCCGACGCCTCCGAGCCATTTATTACTGAACTTATCAGCCAACCATACTAACGGGATAGCTGCAATAGACGCAAAAGCCAGAAAGTAGATTGCAGGAAAATCACTCAAAAAGAAAGCAATAGGCATTATCACAAGCACATAGGGCATATACAAAATATGTATTACGGCATGCCAGTGCATTGCATTCCTTTCCCGTTTTATAAAATACCAACCACATAAAGAATAAAGTAAACAGGTAATAAAAAACCTATCCATGATATTAAAAATAGCGCCGCAGCACAGTGTCACTATTAAAACCAGGATACTGCTTACTAACAGCATATTAAGCGACTTAACCTCCGTAGCCTTATAGTACCGTTGCATACAGTACGCCAAGAAAAGAGGTAGAACACCGACAAGCAATGTAAATAATGCTGCAGACAACACGTTATTTAATGGACGGCTACGATTGATATAAACACCGCAAAAAACCAATGCGTACAGCAGCAGTAATAATAAATTAGCCCTTTTTGATAACATTCGCTTTGATTTTTAATACCTGGAACGCCTTTTGCGCATTGGACAGCACATAAATTTTTGATATTACAGGACCTGTTTCATGCTGAATATCAATAACAGCTTGAATAGAGTCACTTTGTCCTTGCCTGATTACTTTATTACTATCCGTTATTATAGTAGTACAACCACAGGTGGACTCAATCTTTTTATATATCAATGGGGCATTACCAATATTCTTACAATAGAAAGAAAAGGATACTGCCTGCCCCTGCCCAATTGTTCCTAATTCCAAAACGGTATCCTGCCACTGGAGAATGGCTACACCTGGAGGATTAGGAATAGATTCTCCAGTATTATTGCTACAACCTGCCACAAAGATAGACACCGTCAAAAATAAATATTTCATAACCCTTCCTTGTACGATATAACAGCAAACCGAATCTAATTAATTACTAATCATCCTATTGCACACACATCCCATAGCAACCATACATTCCAAATATCCCACAGCCCCAACTTGCCCCCGTACAATCACGCACCTTACATCTCTCATATGCACTAGAACACCAGTCACTATTTAAACTACATTCACAATCAGGCTTCTCTACGGGTGGATTTGGCATCATCGCAGTGTTACTATTCTTTGGCATCATGCTGGTCACAATTTGCTTCATCCGATCATATCCTATCAACACCATATTGCGCTCAACCCATTCTGATACTGCAGGTACCGGCGCGTCTTTGGGACGAGCATCACTATAAATATTCGGCACAAGCAATTTCTGAACCTCCTTCAGTTTCATTATAATCTCATCGTTATTTTCTTCAGAGATAGCCAGGTCAATTCTATCGCGCCAAAGGGATGCCCGTTTTTCCGGAGACATTTTATTGAAGATTGCACGTTGCATTT